CAACGTCTGGGCCTCCTGGGGACCTCCTTGGAGTTTCCCAGTTGACCTCCACTGCCTTCCTTTTCTAAGTGAGGGCTTTTCCCTGCTTTTAAGTGTCTAGGCCTCTCCTTGCTTCACCTGATATTTCCTTGAGTTTTCAGAAAGAAGAGAAAGAAAATTAAGAGAGAGAGAGTTGGAAGAAGGTAGAGAAAATATAGGGAGGTGGGAAGAGTCCTTCTCTGGGGAGATGCTGGGAATTTAGGGATTTCCTTGTAAAGGTCATTACTGAGCAAATCCTCCACGTGCTGTGACCACCTCCCCTGCCTGGATTCGTGACGCTGTAAGGATAGAGCCTGGCACTCAGAAAGCGGTAACCCCTCTTCACCCCTCCTCAGCCTTCCCAGGGTCCCTTTCCCCCGGACTTGCCAAAGCTTATGGGAACATCAGTAGGGATGGTTTTGTTTGCCTTACCTGACCATGCTGCGGTGTGTGTTTACTTTGCTGATTCTGGCGTTATTTGAGACAAACGCCTTTAAAACCCCCAAAACAGCGCTGCCAGTGTGGCTCAGTGGACTGAGTGTCTTCCCATGGGCTGAGAGGTCCCAGTTCGATTCCCAGTCAGGGCACATGCCTGGCTTGCCAGCTCAATCCCCAGTAGGAGGCATGCTGGAGGCAGCCCATCGCTATTTCTCTCTCACATCGATGTTTCTATCTCTCTCTCCCTGCTTCTCTCTTTAAAAAAATAAATAACATTTTTTAAAATAATAAAACAAAAGCGCCAAAATATGAACAATCGCTTCCCCTCTAATTGTGGTGTGTTTTGCACTTTGCACAGAACTCTTAAGTGCATTAGTCTGCGAGGCTATCCAGGTGCACTAAGTGTGAACAAGCCCAATGCCACCCCTTGTCTGTGGCTGGCTCACCCTGAGGTGACAATCAGAGCAGAGGGCCAGAATGTGGCTCCCCCTTGGAACTGTTGCTGGTGTCCTCCCTGTTCTCTTCTCACATGCAAATCACATCCCCCTCAGCTGCAGAATATGTTGCTGGAAACAGGACCCACCCCTCACATTACACACATTGAACTTCTCGGGGCCAGAGGCCAGGGCTGCCCCCTTTGCAGAGTCTTGAACCAACCGCTCATTTTTAAGATGTTTGTGGTTCTGTCTGGGGAGAAAAACCCATGTAACAGAATAGAAACAATGAAGTTGACATGAGTGCGTACATTGTGCTCTTATATAGTTCTAAGTGGTAGATTAGAGATTAATTTTATCCTCTAAGATGTTTTTTATTCCACATTGCCATTTACAACAGCTTTTCCACAGTGATGTGTCACTTTTGTAATCAGAAAAAATATTTTAAAAATAAAGTGATCATGATAATCACCTAGCATGGAGCTCCCTTGGTCCCCTCAGCACCGTTGGTGGTGTCAGGCAGAAGAGACTGTCGAGGACTAGGAGCCCCCGGCCTTGCCTGTTCTCTGCAGAGCGAAATGAGCTCATGTTAGCTGCCAGCACTGTGGCCGTGGCAGAGTTTCCTTATCCACTGGGCTCTTTGGCTTCTTAGTGAGCTGTGTGAAGGACAGAGACGATTTTCATTGGCAGATGCTTCTGCATTGTCTTTGGGACATTGTGAAGGATGTCATCCACTGTAGCACAAGAAGTGCCTTTCAGAAACAGCCACAGACAGATCATAGACTCGGGCAAGGCTGAGCCTGTCCTGCACATGCAACATGGATGCATTTCTATCTAATGCCCTGTGTGCATCCTTGCTTAGGCTGCTGGGGGCACAGCTAGATCCTCGGCTTCGGCACACGCTGTGGCTTTCTGATGCTTGTCTTCACATATAACCTGATACCTGACCTCTTTGTTCTTTTCGACCTCTACCTTTATTTTCCTTTAGCCACATCTCTTCATTCCTTCCTCACTACTTGTTCTGTCTCTTTCTGTTTCTTCCTCTCTCCTCCCTCTCTCCCTCTCCTTCTCTGACTCTCTGCCTCCCCCCCTCCCCCGTGTGTCTCTGTATCTATATCTCTCCCTCTTTCCCTCCTTCCTTCCTTTTTTCCCTTCCTGCTCATGTCTCTTCTCCCTCCCTCTCCCTCTCCCTCCCCCTCTCCCTCTCTCTCTCTCTCAAACACACACACACACACACACACACACACACACCTTTCCCATCTGTGTCCTCTTTTTATGGTACCATTTTTATAAAACCTCCTCAAGTAATTTATGAGAAGAGGCAAAATATCCATGAATACATAGGATGGTGACAGAGTCTACTCCTCATCAGTCTGGGAGAGTAGTGTTCCCAAAAGACAGTTCCAGAGGTTTTCTTCCAGTACATCCTGTTGGCCTGACACGTCCCACAAAAGCACTTGAGCGGGTTTCGGGCTGTAGCACCACACAGGAGTTTGACTGGGTGTAAGATGATCAGCTCCAAATAGGATCCCTGTCGGGACCCCTGTCATTTTTCATCTCTAAGAGGCCTTTTCTCTCTACCCTTTTGTTGTGGTTGCTTTCTGTGTAATACAAGCCTGTGTCTCCAACATTAATGAGTTTCCTGGAGGGCAAACGGTACTGTATATGATATCTATCTCAAACCTGACGTAAAACATCATCTGGAGAGCACATCACACAGATTCCTGGGCCCCGCCCCAAAGATCCTAATTCAGTAGGTCTGGTGTGAGCCCGGGAGCTGGGCTTCCTAACAAGCTTCAGGAATAGAAGCTGCTGGTCCACAGACCACACTTTGAAGAGCCCAGCTCTGAACCCTGACAAGGGCCTCCCTGTAGCCACTGGGAGGTGGTTGTGTAAATAGCCTTTTGTAGAGCTTATCAAAAGCCTTTTTCAGGGTCTAAATCGAATCAGATCCACTAGCCTCTAGCCCTTTCATCTTGCCATGTTCACTCATGACAAGTTCAGTGAGCACAGAGGAACCAGTGATGTGAATTACAGCAGACCTTTCCAGGGTCCACTGTCAGTGAGTGACCCAGCCTGTTCATCAACCACCCAGGCCTGGGCCTCGCAGGTAACTGATCAGCCACGGCGGTTGGGCCCCCGTCCTGGGACATGCTGCAGCCAGGAGGAGCGAGGCTAGCCGGAGCCCTGGGCGTTATCTCCGCCTGGCTTTGGGCTTCCTGTTTGTCCTCACGTGTGAAAGTTAAGGGCTAACGAGGACGCTTGGATGTTTAGCCACACTGTACTGAATTTATGGAGGGAGGAGGCGATCATGTACGAGAGTGGTCTCATCACATGTGGACTCCATTAGCACCGCAGGTTGTCAGTGACGGGAACAGCAGTGCGAACAGCTGAGTGACGTGGAGCAGGCACTTTGTGGAGCCCAGCACCGATCAAGCTGTGCCTCACTCCGCCTCAGAGCCACCATGAGGCAGGTGGACTCCCCATCTTGGAGAGGACCACACAGGCTAGAAAGGTCCAAGTACTCCCCCCAGGTGGCGGGGGCAGGATCGGACCCGTGCCTCTCTGCCTCCAAAGCCCGTGCTCATAACTACGACGTTCTCTTGCCTTCGGCCTCAAGGATTCTGCTGTAGTTGCAACCTCTGCTTTTTTCACTGGGATTATGCAATTTCCAAAATTATACTTGTAGAAATAGTTTATGAATAGAAAGACAGTGCCGTGGGTTCAATATTCGGTGGTGGTCTGGATCCCCGCAATACAAAAGGGTCCGCCTTTTCTCAAAGAGCAAGAGCTCCGAGAACATTTTTTCCCAAAAAAATGACTGGAAAAGACCCACTTCTCAAATACCCAAAACACAAGCGCAGGAGGATGTTTTAAAAGAAGCAACGGAGACTTGCCGGTGTGGCTCAGTGGTTGAGCATCGACCCATGTACCAAGAGGTCACCGCTTTGATTCCCAGCCAGGGCACATGCCCAGGTTGTGGGCCCGATACCCAGTGGGGGGCGTGCAGGAGGCTGCCAGTCAATGTTCTCTCTCATCGATGTTTCTCTCTCTCTCTCTCAAAACAAATTAAGAAAAAAAATTTTTTTTAAAGAAAGAAGCAGCGGAAACCTCATCTACCATGCTATCTTGAAATAGCTACCAACTGTGTCTCAAGTGTTGTTTGGACAAAATGAGGCTATTGGAGTCTAATTCAGTAAATCCAAAGTGATGCCCCTTGGGCTGGTCCACAGGTCTGTTCATGTATTTTTCCTTACAAGTGCCCCTGGCTGGCAATATTTATTCCTGTCTGTAAGCCAAGGAAGGAAAACCCTGAGAGATTTGGCAATACCCCTGGCTCTTAAAAGTTATGGGCGCCAGGGCTGTGAACAGAACTGGTCTTTGCCCCCCAACTCTGTTCTCTTTCCTGCCCCCCCCCCCCACAAGCTTTCCCACTGCTGCCTGAGCTGCTCCCACTTGGACTTCTGTGCCTAGTCATCTTCATGGCATGATCATGCCGTGCCCACCACCCCAAGAAGCCCTGCCACCATTCTCATGTATATCCTCCCCAGACTTCTTCATGTTTGTTTCAGTAGAATCATACTATACAGACCATCTTGGAAATGCGCCTAATTTTCAGTAATGAATCATGAACATCTTTTTACATCATTAATGCAAAAGCATTGGTTTAATGGTTATCTAGTACTCTTTTGTACCTCTCTTGTGGTTTCTTACACTTAAAACAGATTTTTATGAAGGCTATCTTGGAAATATGGTCACTGTCACTTTGAAAAAGCAAAATTATTGTGCTTTGGGGTAGTAGGCCTCAAACAGTAAAACATCTCTGGTGTCCCTGACCCATGTGGAATCTTGTAGAGAGGTTGTTTTGTTTTCTATGAAGGTAAATAAATAAGTACAGCCCTGCTGGCAAGCACACGATATAGGCGGCGCTGGTCCTGGACTGGCCAGTAGAGTACGTGAGAGCTGTGGAGGGGATGCTGGCAGGGTCTACAAATCCCAGCCATCAGGGCTCTGCCCCCCGACCCTCCTCCCGACCCCCGACCAGTAAGGGCTAGCAGGTGTGTCTTCCGGTACTGTGGATCTGAGCCAAATGTCTTTTTCTCTCCCCAGCAAATCCACCCATGGCCGCCGCTGTGGTGTCCTATTTTAATGACTGCCCGGATTCCCACAGTCAGTTCTGCTTCCATGGAACCTGCAGGTTTTTGGTGCAGGAGGACAAGCCAGCATGTGTGTAAGTGTCCCCTGGTGTCCTGGTGCCCTGGTGTCCTGGGGCTGGGGGCGGCCCAGCAACCAATTCAAAGAACGTTTACCTCCATGAGGCATGCCAGAAGCTCCCAAGACTCCTGGAGCCTGACATGTTGGAGGATCAAACCTCAGCTGGTAAAAACCCATGTTCCTGAGCCCCAGCCAGAGCTACTGAGGCAGAACCCACGGGGGCCTGGGGCCTGGAGATCTGTATTTCTAACAAGTATCTCAGATAACTACTGGGTTCAGCAAAATCTGAAAATTCCTGGATTCTAGTTTAATTCACTACTTAGAATTCCTGGAGAGCAAGGCACTGAGTTAGATCCTTAGAGTAGCCTGAGTCTCTAAGATGAGGTCTCTGCCTGTAGTATCTTTACATGCACCTAATAAAACAAGCAGACACACATGCAATAGGTTAGTGTACATAAGTGGCAACAGAACAAGAAACAGCCTAGAAATAAGATGCATGCCAGGGCATGGTGGTTTCCACATCAGGCTGAGCCCCCTGTAGCAGCTTCTCAAAGTATACCTGAGCCCCACCCTGACCCCAAATCAGAATCTGCAGGAATGCAACCCAGGAGTCACATTAGTTAAGAGCCACCAGCCATGGTCAGCCAGACTGGAGAAAAAAGGCCCTTGAGGAAAGCTTCCCAGGTGTTGGAGAGAACAGACAGGCTACTCAAGGCTTGGAGTGTCAGGGGCCTGCTGTACAGGTCAGTGTGGCTACAGCAGGCAGGAGACAAGACTGAAGGCAAAGGGGAGGCCAGAGCCTGTTGAAGGTGAGCCTTTATTCTGTCGGTAGTGAGAACCATGTCGGGTTGGGGAAGGGATGTTTTAAGAAAATTAATCTGCCCGTACTAGAAAACTATTAGGTGGCACTATTGACATTTGGGGCTGGATAGTCCTTGTTGTAAGGACTGACCTGAGCACTGAAGGATGTAGCAGCACCCCTGGCCTCTACTTACCAGTAGCACCACCCCACAGTCACGACAATCAAAAATGTCTCCAGAGAAAGACAAGTATCACATGATCTCACTTATTTGTGGAATATAATGAACATATCAGTCTGAGGAATGGGGTAGTTACTGGGAAGTGGGGTACAGACTGACAATCCCCAGAAGAGGGGGTGGGGGGGAGAGATAAACCACAGAACTTACATGCATATATGCATGAACAGTGGACATGGACAACAAAGCTGGGGACAGGGCTGGGGGGGGAGGATCAGTGGGGGGAAAAGGAGAAACATCTGTAACAAAAATAAATAAATAATTTTTTTTTAAATGTCTCCAGATAGTACCAAATGTTCCAGGGGAGAGAGGCAAAATCACCCCCATTAAGAACCATCCATCTATATGAAGTTGCCATTTTATAGGTCAAAAATGGTTGAAAGTCAGCAGTTTTATGGGGTTCAACTTAATAGTACCACGGTAAATAATACTAAATGTTAATAAAAGCTAGCATTTATTGAGCTTCTGCTCATGCCAGCACCATTCCAAGCACAATCCATGTGCTAACTCTTGTAGTCCTCATAATGACCCCGTGAGGTAGGCACAGAGAGGTTGCGCCCAGATTATATGCCAGACTTTCCATTCAAACCCAGACTGACTGTGAAGCTGAGTCCATAACCATGATGCTTAAGAATATTGAATGCGTTGGCCCACGTTGGGGACCAGGAGAGCTTGCGGCAGTGAGTGGGGGTGTGTAGGGCTTTCTCCTTCCTGAGGTGCGGCTGTGTGAGCCTGAGCAGGCTGCTTGGGGTGCCTCTCAGCCTCACCTGGAGAGGCTCACTGACCACCTTCCTCCTGGAGGAAGGACTGTGTGAAGCTCCCAGGTCATGTCTGCAGAGCTAAGAGCCCTTCCCACCCCATAAACACAAAGCACAATGATGATAATAGTCACAGTCATTATTCATTATTATCATTCTTATTAAAATACACGGGGGCCCTGGAGGAGCGATGGGGTGGTTTTTGCTAGCAGCATGGTCATTGTGGAAAAGCGCTGACCAGGGAGGAAGTGTTGCCCTCGGCCCGGACATCAGGAAAGCCCCCAGGACCGCAGGCAGAAGGCGTTCTCCCCTCCAGCAGCACCCAGTGAGGGGCCTCGGGAGGCCGCCCCTTTGGAGAGGGTCCTCTTTGGAGAGAGAGGGCAAATCTTAGCTGAGCTCTGATCAGTTGTGTCCAAAGCTCAGTTTTTTTGCTCCTCAGGTGCCTTCCCCACCAGGTCAGGGCTGGTGTGAACTTTCTGAGAGTGGGCAGCCTCCAGCCGGGGTCAGCAGTGGAGCCAAATCACAAACATCCCTGAGGCCAAGACCCCAGCGCTGGTGGAAGCCTCCTCTGATTCTCCTCCGTCTGGGTCCCTGCTCTTGGCTCAGGGAGATACTTGTCCAGCGCATTTACACACCATTACACTTTGACCATCAGGATGACTGTCTGGCTGTCTCTCCCCGCTCACATGATAAACGTTACTGTATAGTAATCTCAGTGCAAGCTGTAGCGAGCCGATGCAGGCATGGCGCCAGCACACCACGGGCAGCGGCTCAGGGAGTCCTCACAGCTCCCCTCTCACGTAGGGATTCTTGCCCTTAGCGTATAAATGAGAAAACTGAGCCAGCTCAGAGAAGTTAAGCAACTTGCCCAGAATCTCAGAGCCAGTAAGTGGTAGAGCTGGGATTCAGTCTCATCGATTCCAAGCCCCAGACCCACGCTTTCAGCCACTGCCCTAGAGGGCATGCGGCCTCATCCTCACGACGCTCACTGAAAGCACTAGGCTCTCTGGCTTCCAGGAGAGGTGCTGGCACCTTCCCCCTGCAGGTAAACCTTCCTCCAGAGAAGAGGCAGGGTCATTTCCGAGCTGGCTGCCCTGACCACAGACTCCCAAGGAGTCCTTCCCACGGGCCCAGTGTGCGGTCTGTGGAAACAGCCAAGACAGTCTTGCGGTTTGGAAAAGCTGGCCTTCTGTGGCGAGGCACAGCCGTGCCAGCAGTGACTGTTCTCCACCTCAGTTTCCCCACTGGGTCCTGGCAGCACTCAGCCCACAGCCATGCTTTAGGGGTGGTAGATGACAATCCACACTGTGCTTTGGTGGCTTTAGTGAGTTGTCAGCATTTTGGAAGTCGGGTTTCCCATGTCCAGGCAGAGGCGCAGCTTCCCTCAAACACAGGCGGTCCCTCTCCCGTCCCCCCGTTTCCAGCTCCGTGCTGCAGGAGTGTGTGAGCTCAGTGAGGACAGGACCACGCCTTCTACCTGTTGCATTACAGTCCCTGGAAGGGTGTTCTAATTAACGAATCCCCGCTAGACCAGACACTCAGTCCATACAGAAAAGCAGAACATTCCCCAGTCTTAAGACCTGCCCCAGCTTCAGGGGACTGACACACACATTCTGGTCAGTGAAACACATGCCTTGAGTAAGGCCTCGCCTTCCATGGCCTTGTAAAGAAAACCCACAGAGACCAGGATCAGAGTCTCAGAAGAGGGAGTTCTTTCTGAAACACTGTCCTCCTTAAGCTTTGTCTTCCATTAGAACAATGGTCTTTAAGTTTCAGAGAACCTCAAATGACACCTCACACCAAACTATGAGGTCGAGCAAAGAAGTTCAAACTAATAACTAGTCAGAGATCGCCAAAGGTAGTGAAAACTATCCTTAAACACTTATGCTTCAGATGAACCCCAGGTTGTATTTTATGTCTCTCTTTAATAAAACCCCGCTGGGAAATGGGAAAGGAATTTCCCAAGAGAGTAAAGCCGTAGAAGTGCGGGCTCAGGACTCGGGTTTCCCCGAGGCGGACTCCACGCTGTTGGTCTGCTGCTGCAGAAGCCTTCAAACAAAGGAAAACAGTCGAAGGAAGCCACCCAGGCGACAAGTTTTAAGGGTGCCAGTGGCAACTAGTTTGAAGTTTTGATAGTCTGAAGTTTCTCACCTCTTCAAAACTCCCTGACAACTTTCCCACAGCAAAGTGTGAAAACAAAGTACTGTCAGCCAAGCAAAACATTCCGTATGGCCCGGCCACCGCGCACGCCGGTGGGATCTGAACAGTCAAACACCCAGAGGAAAGTGACCACCAGGTGGGACCAGGAACACAAGACCCACGAGAGCAGGACTGAGAGGTTTTCTTGTTGGTGCTTGAGCCAATTTACACAGATCAACTCACCTCAACAACCAGCAGGTGGTGGGCCCTCGGGCTGAGAAGTTATGACATCACTACCATCCACACGTCTAGAGAAAGTGCGCGTCCACACTCTGACTGTTTACTCCGCCAGGAGCAGATACTGAGGGTCACAGCAGTGAAAGGCACAGATCTGAAGGTCAGGCAGACCTGAGTCACTGCTGCAAGTGCCTTCGCCCCACTAAGCCTCAGTGTCTTTGTGTATAAAATGAGGACACAAGTACATCATAGGATTGTGACCACAATGCAAGGTGAGCTGTTGCTGTTCCAGACAAGAGACACTAACTAGACAGGCGAGGCTATTTACATTAATTTGGTCCATTAAATTGTTTCCCAGTCTCACTAGCACTCAGTGCCTCTAGAGGCTACTTTGTTAGACCGCATAGATAGACACTGTTCCCGTCAAGACACTGTTCCCGTCATCGCAGGAAGTTCTGTCACACAGCACTGGAGAACATCAGGCCCAGTTCCCACCAGAGCATGAGAGCAGGTGGTGTCAGGACCAACTCCACTGTGATCAGGCCATGTCACCATCACCATAGCTGAAGGACGTGGGAAGATTCTGCGGAAAGGAGCAAGGAAAGGCAGGTAGACCGTGAAACCTGGGCTGTCCCACGAGGCCTGTGGACCAGAGCCACTAAGAAAACCTGTACTCTGTCCACTCCACTCCCCTCAAACCCCAAAAGCAGAGAGGCTGTAGGACAGGACTTGGCGAATCCAGCTCTCAAGAGGCCAAGAATGGGTAAGGCCAATACAGATCTGGAGCTCAGGGGCCTCACTCCCTCCCCAGCCCTGTGGATTTTCTCCATATTAAAGGCAAGTTG